CCCAAAGGATCATATACCAGGAGTATAGGAAATCTGTCCACACCCAGCTGAGGTCCTGGATCCCATGCTAATACCCTGCTTGAGTCCAGCTGAAGACCTAGAACCCATGACAATGTCTCATACAAGATTGTTTCACTGATTTGTGCTGGGAAGGCCGAAAGGTCAGTGGTGGAAGCTAGAAAGTCTGTGCCAGCAGGATGAAGGATCTGCACTAGCAGGCTGAGGGGTCTGCACTGGAGCTGGGAAGCAATGCTCAAAGTAAGAATCAGAGCTCTCCCCCAAAAGTACCATGGCAATCCTCAGCAAGGACCTCAGTGAGGTCCTGAGCTCCTCCAATGCTGAAGGAAGCAAAGTCCCCATCAAGAAAGCCAATGCTGATCCCCAGCACCACATGCTGCACCAGACACTGAGTCCGGGCATGGTGATGCATACTTTAATCCCAGCATGGGAGAGGCTGAAAACAGGAAGATCACTATGAGTCTAAGCTGTGTAGTAGGTCCCTGTACCAAATACATAAATTAGGGGGCAAAAAAAGAAAGAAAAGAAAAAGAAAGCCAATGCGACAAGCTTCTCCAGGAGACTGAGCTATGTACCATTTTCCACAGATGGGAAACAATGCTCAGAGATCCAGAGCTCTTTCAGTGATGAGAACAGCCAACTTCGTCAGGGAAGCCAGTATGACAAGCTCCTCATGGAGAACTAACAGCTCCTGACAGCCACGCTCCCAGCTCCCAAACAGCTTTTTCCTCTCCAGTTCTACTTCTTAGACTGCTGGCCACAATGCTGAGGTGGGCCTCCCACACCCAGACCATGCGACTTGAGTCCAGCTGTGTGTTATAAGTTGGCCACCAGTTGTCAATCCACTGTAGTGCTTTAGCCCACGGCTCTTAGCTCAGCTGGCCAGATGACAGCACTCCACAGCACTTGTTTAAACAACAGGAAAAGACTGGAACATACTTGGGATTTTACATTGAAGTCAACATTTTCGGGGAAAATGTGGTCGGGCTCCACAGGAAAAGAACATTCTTTTAATGACTCAGATAACTGTACCAATTTCAGGTGTTTAAAAAGAGCAAGCGCAACACAGAGATAATCCATCTAATACTGCTGGGAGTCCTTCCTCAACCCAGCTCCTCCGTAGGAAAGCCCTCAGCTGGCCCATCGGCTGACAGCTGGCACCAACAGTCTAAGTTCTACGAATGCTACAGAGCCTCACAAATGTCTTTGACCAGTCAAGATGTAAGGAAAGAGAGAGTTAATCTAGAGGTCACCATTGAGGACAGGAACTGACAGCACCTATACATAGTAACCAAACTTCAGAGTCTGGTGGCAGATACCGAAGACTTAGTTTCAGATGGCGTATAACTAAACTTGAGATCTGAAGCCAAAAGACAATTATCTCAGTTTTTGTTCTGGATTAATTATTTAAACTCC